ACTTTTCACAAACATAAGGTTGAATGAAAAAGCAAGCACGTGTCTTTCTGCAACAGCAGGATACCATTCATATAAAGTTATAAAAACACAGAACAATACTAAGTACTGCCTAGAAATGGATACACATGTAGTACAAGTATAAAACCAGTTATGGGATTATTAAGCACCAAGTTTACCATGGTGATCACCTCAGGACAGGGAGGGGCAGAGAGGGATCAAGGAAAGGTACAGGAGGGTCCTCAACTATATCTGTAAGATTTATTTCTTAAAAAGAAAGATGTGTGTTAGTGAAGCTGTGGAAAAACAGGAATCCCATACACTTCTTAGGGAATATATAGTGGTTCCATTAATAAGAAGGGTAACTGGTAATATCCCAAAGTTACAAATGCACACACCCTTTGACATCCTTTGACCTAACTCTTGTAGAATTTTTTTACAGATATATGCACATACCTACAAAAATAGATATATACCAGATTATACATTACAGTATTGTTTATAAAAGCAAAAGATTGGGGGCGCCTGGGTGGCTCAGTCAGTTAAGCCTCTGACTCTTGGTTTTGGCTCAGGTCATGATCTCAGAGTTCTGGGATTGAGTCCGCATCCGCATGCTTCTCTGCCTCTCTCTCCCTCTCCCTCTGCCCCTCAGCCTCCCCCTGCTTGCACAAGCTCGCTCTCTAAAATAAATCAATATTTTTTAAAAAGGCAAAAGAGATGGGGTGCCTGGGTGGCTCAGTCATTAAGTAGCTGCCTTCGGCTCAGGTCATGATCCTAGGGTCCTGGGATGGAGCCGCGCATGGGGCTCCCTGCTCAGCAGGAGGCCTGCTTCTCCCTCTCCCACTCCCCCTTGCTTGTGTTCCTGCTCTCGCTGTCTCTCTGTCAAATAAATAAATAAAATCTTTAAAAAAAAATAAGGCAAAAGAGGGGGGCCGGGGTGGCTCAGTTAGTTAAGCATCTGCCTTCGGCTCAGCTCATGGTCTCAGGGTCCTGGCATCAAGCTCCCTGTAGGGCTCCCTGCTCAGTGGGGAGCCTGCTTCTCCCTCTGCCTCTGCCCCTCCCCCTGCCCGTGCACCCTCTCTCTCTTATATAGATAAAATCTTTTTAAAAAATTAAAAAAAAAAAATGATAAAATTCTAAAACTCAGCAAGGTTCCATAATTTCCCAGGCTGATGTCCATAAGAATTGGGACAGAGGTCTGTGTTAACCACTCCACCATGGTGCCTCCCAGCCTGTGGGGGGCATGCATCAATTATAGTACCAGGACCTCCCTTCCATCTGCACTACCTCTATGGCCTAAAGCAGACCTTGTATGTTTCTGGACCGGAGTTCCCATCACCTAAGTGAGTGGGTCCCTTCCTGTTCATACAGGCTACCAGTCCCCATTCCTCAGAAATGTTGCCTCCTAGCAAAAGGCTCAGCTGGAACAGAGCACACCAGAATGCTGGACTGTTCCCACTCAAAGCACCAAAATCCTGACCACTGTTTCCCCAACAAAAGCCTGCTTGTACCACCACAGCAGCCTGTCAGCAATTACCCCCAATTACAAACCCAGAGCCCAGCAAGCCCTCAATTAGTCTAAAAAGGGGCCTGAGGAGGAGCCAGCTACACAGAGTGTAATGCCCATATATCGCCTCCACCCACAGGGCCAGCACACTCCTCTCACTCAAACCCAGGGGCTTGGATACTTGGTAACAACATCCTTAGGACCACAAGAAAGCTGTTGGCTCTCCTCCAAGTGACCACTGCCTGCAGGGCCCAGTCAAGTCCTCCTGCCGGAAGTGCAGTTCTCCAGACTTTATGCTTTCTCCCAACTCAGACCACACAAATCTGCCTCCCTGCTTAACACTTTCCCAGGCAAAGTGCAACATCCCCAGGTTCTCATCTCCTTCTAGGAGAAGATGAACATCCCTGGACAAACCCTGCAGGTGAAGACATACCCAGGCTAATGCCCCTAAAGCATCATGGTCATGGGCTTGGCTCAGCATTTGGGAGGAGGACAAAATGCCCATCTCTTCTCAGAGAAGGATGGCCTCTAAATTCTACTCTGTAGCATCCAGAAGCAGGACTGTCCCTTGTCCAATCTTCTGCAAATTCCCTAACCCAAGAGGCATACCTTCAGGTTGCTAAGCCCAGGGCTTGGCAAACTGTGTGTTTTTCACTGAATTGGCCCGCATCCCCATTTTCACAGTGAGTGTGTGTGGCTATGAGAAAGACTGTGTGCATATGTGTGTGTACAAAGATCTCAGACCTGGGTGTGACAGTGTATATGGGGAAGACCAGAGGTTATAAGAAATGGGTCTCATAAATAACAGCTAGATTTGGTCAGATGGAAGAAAGGACTAGATTTGGTCAGATGGAAGAAAGGACTTCCTGACCTTGCACCAGCAAATGGAGGCTCAGGGCTCAGAGGCTCAGAACCCAGGGCTCCAGAGTCAAGCTGCCATTTATTGACTGGGGGCCTTTGGCAAGTTACTTAACTTCCCTGTACCTCAGTTTCTTCATCTATAAAATGGGAATAGTACCAACACCTTGGATTTGTCATAAAAATGAAATGAGAGCATGCACGTAAACTTCCTGGCTCAAAATAAGTGCTTAATAAAAGGTATCTATTTTATTCCTTTATAATGATGCTGATGATAATTGCTGGAGTACACAGTGGTCTTCAGAGAGTGCTATCTATAAGGAAAAGGCCCTGTTACAGCATGTCTGTCTGTCTGTACAGTGCTGTAGTTTGTTCTACTCTGGAAAACCATCGGGCAATATCTTCTAAAACTACACATATGCCTATTCTCCTAGGTATTCACTCAAGAATAATAAAATTCCCTTTACAAAAAGAAATGTACAAAGATGTTGACAGCAGTTTTATTCATGATATCTCAAACCTGGAAAGAACACAGATGTCCAGTAATAGGCAAACAGATAAGCAAATTGTGGAATATTATACAGCAATAAGGAGAAATTAATGTCTGACATATGCAACAAGATGAATGGATATCAAAAATATGTTATGCAGAAGAAACCAGACACAAAAGAGTACATGTTGTATGCCCCATTTATATGCAGGCAAAGTTAATCTATGGTGATGGAAATCAGAATACAGTTATACTTAGGAGTAGGTATTAAAGAGGAAAAAATATAAGGGGACCTTCTGAGGTGTCAAAAATGTTAACATTCCATATCCTTTTTTTTAAAGATTTATTTATTTGAAAGAGAGAGAAAGAGCACAGTGGGGAGGGCAGAGGGAGAGACAGAATCTCAAGCAGACTCCCCACTGAGTGTGGAGCCCAACTCAGGGGCTTGATCTCACCACCCTGAGATCATGACCTGAGCGGAAACCAAGAGTCAGATGCTCAACTGACTGAGCCACCCAGGCGCCCTAACATTCCATATCTTGATCAGGGCGGTGGTTACATGGTGCATTGTATATAAAAATACATCAAGCTGTATACTTGAGATGCATATTGTTTACATATGCAAGTTACACAGCATACACACACACACACACACACACACACACCATTTTGGCATGAGGGAAATCTTCAGAAGGCCAGTAACGCAAAGCACAAAACTCGGCCCTTCTCTTCCCCTTCCTCTGGACTTCATCAAAGATCGGCATCTAAAACTGCCCTCCTGCACAGAGGCTCTTTACATGGTGCCCATTTGTGGAGAGAAACTTGAGCAGGGAATGAGGACCAAGAGGAAGGGCTCTTTCAGCCACCCCTCCATGGGCCTTCTTGTGGTTCCAGACAGCAGGCCTTACCTTATAAGCTGGCTGCTGCAGATACAAAGACCACTCTATTTCTAGTAAGGTTTATTACGTGTCTCACACAGGTCCTCAGCATGAGGAAGGTGACCTGTGTCCTTGCCTAAGGTTCAGCATTATGGCTGTCCAGCCATAATGAGCAGAGAGTCCCAAATGCCAGGGGACTCTCAGATCCTGAGCTGGCCCTCCATGGTCTGGCCACTCTTCTCCACCTGCAGTCCCTTTCTTGGAAATTCTAGCTTTATGACAAGGAAAGGGGCATCTTTCAATTCTCTCTGTGGAGTGGAGGCACTTTGCAATGCCATTAGAATGCATTAAGTCAATCCTGGTGGGAAGCACTGAGTGACAAGTGGAGGACAGAGTCTCTACCCATCAAGACTTACTGTCTGGGTGTGGAGAAAGGCAACAAGGCAACTTTGAACAACAACATAACACGCTCTCAAGCATGGGGTGGGGGCGCCTAGTGGCAGGGTGAGGGCTGAAGAAAATGGCTTTGGGACATGGGAGTTATGGCCACAGGATACCAAAGGAAGCTGGTCAGCAGTTCCTGCCACCCTAGAATTGTCTCTCTGGGAGCATCCCAAAAGTCTTTGGAGAGGGAAGGTCCCACATTGCCCAGGAACCAGCCCCGTCTGCCTTTTCTCCCTGAGTTAGGCTCAACCAGGAGAAATGCCTACAACTGCCCTGCAGTCTGCCTGGTAAGGGTAAGGCACACACTCCTTGGGGCAAAGAGGTGATTGTGAACTTGAGGCCCAACATCAGTGAGGTATGGAAGAGCCCAGAACTCTAACCTACTACCTCCCAGGCCAGCCACCCACAGGGTGTGGGCGGTAGGATTCACTAAGATACCAACTGGAAACAGCTCTCATCTGTGAGTTCTTCCCCAGAATGGGTAGTGGCTTCTCCTCTCTCTCTCTCTCTCTCTCTCTCTCTCTCCACTTCCCTATTCTCTCTCACTCTTTCTCCCAAGCACATATTTGGGTAAATGTCTCTGCTAATCCCAACCAGGCAGAATAATACCGGCTGGCCTGGGGCCTAGCGCTGTGTGGGTATGTGCAGAAGAACCAAGCACCCACTCGAGGCTGCAGTCTGTCGGAGTGGCAGGGAGTTCAGCTACAAAACAGAGAGGAAGCCTGTGAGTGGTCTGTGTGTGTTAAAGTGCCTCAGGGATGAGCTTCCCAAAGAACTCTAAGTAGCAACCTCACCAAGGGAACATCCGGGGGGCAGCCCAGTCACCCTAACCCTGGGCCAAAGACATCAAAGAATCAACAGGCTTCTGGGAGTCAGACTTGCAGACAAAAGGTCACTCTGTGTCTTGAGATACCTGAGTGCCTGAGTGTGTAAAGAGGCTTAAAATCCAGGCATCAGAGTGACATGTTTTCCACCAAAATGTGCAGGATCTGAACTAGTATGTGTAACAGGTGAGTGTGTGAGGGTAGTGGGGAAAAGGAGAACTGGAGGGGATTCAGGGTTGACTGGAGAGAAGTGGATGGAGGAATGTGAGGGGGTAGAGAGACCTGGCGTCCATGGGGGTGCAGGAGGAGCTGGGAGTAGTGCTGACCGTTGAGGTGTGCAGTCGGGTAGGAATGTGCTAACGAACGCATCCAGGCTTCCCTTTTCCCGCCGCGCGCGCCGCAGAGGCCGTACCCGCAAGGAGAGGGCTGCAGCAGGCTCAGGTCCTCTGTCCTCGCGCAGGGCGGGAAGCCCGTGAGTATTTCGGGGCCCCGCCAGGAAAGGGCACCACGGGACCTGGTTCGAGCAGCCGGAGGCGACGCGGGGCCAGGCGACTCGTACCCGGGAAGCGCTGCCCGCGTCGGGGCCGCTGGGCCGCTCACCTGGCAGGACCCCGCCGCCGGGATCCCGAGAGGCGCGGCCGCTTCGGCGCCTATTGCAGGATTCCCGGCGGTGCAGAGAGAAGCGTCTCCCTCCATCCCTCCCTCAGGGCCGAGTGAATTGCTCACGGCGGCTGTCGGGGCCTCGCGGGCGCGGGGCGGGCGCGGGGCTGGCGCGGAAGCCGGGCCGCGCCCGGTCGGCGGGTCTCCCGCACCGTGTCAGCCCGCGGCGCCCGCGCGGGAGGACAAGGCACGGGCGGCTCCTGAGCTGCAGCTGCAGGCCCCGGGAAAACCGGGCGGAGAGGCTAGGAGCTCCGCCCGGCCCTCGGAGGTGGGCACCGCCCCGAGGTCACTGAGCTGGGGCTCGGCGTCGCCGCAATGGGGCGGGGAGAGAGGATGCCCCCCCCCCAACAAGCCTCGACGCGGTCTGCCTGCCGGACGGGATCCCGACCTCCCCAGGAAGCGGGGCCCTACCCAGCCGGCCCTAGAGGGTTGAGAAGTAAACCAAGGCGCGCCCCACTGCTTCCTGGAGAGATCAATACCTGAAAGGAGCAGGACCTGTCCACTCAGAAAATCCTTTAGTGGAACTCCTTCCTTTACCCCCACCTCCTACACACACTCTCTCTCTCTCTCTCTCTCTCTCTCTCTCTCTCTCTCTCTCTCTCTCTCTCTCTCTTAAAGGCTGAAAAGGGAGCCGAGTTTGGAATTCGGGGAAGTGATGACACACAAAACAATGCTGTTACACCTGGCTGCTGCAGGCCAGCAGCGGAAATGCCTGTGAGGGTGAGGGAGAGACAGAGAGCCAGCCTGGGTGGTCAGAAAAAAAGAGGAGAGGAGAGGAGAGGAGAGAGCACACACACACCCCCAGGTTGGGGCCAGACCCAGCTGTTTTTTCCCCTGCCCAGGCCAGGGGGAGGATGGGTGCTAGGGTGGATCTGCAGCAGCCCCAAACCTCACACCACTCCCACCCCTAGCCTGGGCATGGATGGGGGTGAGAAAGAAGAAAAGCACCTGCACTCCTGCTCAGGAGACAGCCACAGAGGTTTTTGAAGAGGTGCTGCTTATGCCGGTGTATACTGGGAGCAGCGGGAGAAAACAATCAAGCTACTTTGAGCTACTTTCAATGGTGGGTAGAGGAGGTTATTTACTGAGGTGAGTTTAGGAGAGCCCTGTTCCCTCTTACTGTAATGGTCAGACCAGACTGCCCTGCTGCCCTCTCTGGAGTCATTTTCAAGATGCTGAATTCCAAAGAGCCCCATCACCCTGTCCTCCTTTCCTTTAATCTCAGAATCTAGATCAGAGAGCTGAGTGGGAAGCAGGCAACCCATGCAGGTGGCCGTGGGTGCTGGGGCCATAGGCCACTAAGGGCTCCTCAGGCTTCCTCAGAGATGGGGCAGCCTAGGAGGAAGTGGTAGTAATGAGCATTGGGGCGGCCACTCTGGCCATGCCAGTCCAGACATAAAACACACCCCTGCATGACACCCCTTCAGTCCACCTTCCTCCCCAAAGTACCCTGGCCCCCTCAGTACCAAGCAGTTTGGGGCATGAGGATTCAAAACACCGGATGGGCATCTCTCTCACACTTTAAGATTGCAGACCTTTTGTTAAGGCTAAGTTAGCTGTTAAAAAGCACAGCTGCCTTTCCTGCCAGCATTAATTTCCCCTGAGACGATCTCCGGGCATGCAGGTGTGATTGGGAACCATTCAGACTTCTGCTGAAGGTAGGTGAGCATTCACCCTTCAGCCCTGGAGAAAGATCAGAACGAATGTCTTGTCAGGAGAGAGATTTGAATAAATGCCTCCCTCACAGCCTCTTGTTTTTCTTCCCAGTCCATGACAGAATACTGACAAAGAAATGGGTAAAGAGAAGAAAGGAGAGAGGGTAGGAGAGTGAAAAGAGAGAGAGGAAGAAGAAAGAAGATGCAACATCCCAGAACCACACTTACTGATAGGTGACACATATGTACCATTACATATCGTAAGTATAAATGTTTACCCCATAAATATAAATCTCACCTTGTACGTGTGCATACCTGTGTTTTTGCACCAGCACATGTGCACCTGGGCCGCTGGTATCTCACGTGTCTCAAGAACAGACCCTCCCCGTGACTTCTATATGTAATAGCGGTGCACACACAAATGAAGTCCCCCAAAGACCCGCAGCAACGCCCGTGTTGGAGCAGGACTAGAGTGGGGTCTACTTGGTGTTGCTAAAGCACACATCCAACTCGTAGGATTACAACGCGGATTCTGAGGAGGGGTCTGGTCTCTAGGTCCAGGGGCAGCGCAAGGAAGGGCAGAGGGGCTTCAGGCAGAGCTCCTGGGCGCCTCCTCCCCGATCGTCTCCCCAGCCCCATCCGGCCCAGTCACTCTGGAAGCGCGACGGACAGGCTAGGCCAGGCCGAGGTTTCTTGGTTCAGTGACACGCGTTTCTGGGCTGATTTTCCCAAAGCCACCGCGCAGCTCTCTCCACCCCACCGCCGTCCGGCCCCCTCGCCGTCCCGCCCCTCCCCCAGCCCCAAGCCAGAAGTTTAGCCCCGAGACCGCAGCAAAGGGCAGAGCCGGGGAGTCGTTTTCTTTCACCTGAAAGCCGCGAGGAGGCTTGGCGCGCCTCTCCTCGCTAGGGCCCGAGCTCCCTGGGCACTGGCCGAGTGCGGACGGACCCCGCCGGGGCCCTGGGCATCTCCCGGCCCAGTCCGCTGAGCGAGCACCCGCGGATTGCAAGGGCTTGCGAGAGCGTGAGCCGGGTCGTCCGCCGGGCCCCCTCAGCTCGCTGGGAGGGGGCAGGCCGGTCCGGGCTGCGCGGGGCGTTTACAAAAAGTGACTTGGAGATGAACTCGCCCGTGCGCGACTGGCCGCCCCGCTATAGGGGCGAAGGCGCCTGACGCAAGCGGAACTCGGCGGAGCCCATACGAATCAGAACTAAGCGAGGCTCCTGGCGCACTAGGGACTCCAGGAGGCAGCTCCGCCAGAGACGCGGGTCGTGCCTCGGGAAACCGGAGGGTGGGGGGAGGGGAAGAGCGCCGAAAAGAAAACCCACCGAGGCGGGGACTGGCCTGGGCGGGGAGGGGCGGCGGGGCCGGAGCCCCTCTCTGTTGGGCGGACTCCCCATGGCCAGAGGCTGAGCTCCACTCCCGCCGGCCGCTCCCTAGGGGAAGGGAAAGAGGAGAGGAGCGGAGCGAGAGGCCGCCAGCGAGCGAGCACGGGCGGCATCCGCAGTCTCCAGAAGTTTGAGACTCGGCCGTGAGCGGACTTGTGCGCCCGGACTCTGCCGCGCCAGCACCAAGGGAAAAGAGCAGGGGCTGCCTGGCCGCGGCGCGCCGGCTTTGTCATGATGGCCAGCTACCCCGAGCCCGAGGACGCCGCGGGGGCCCTGCTGGCGCCGGAGACCGGCCGCGCAGCCAAGGAGCCGGAGGCACCGCCGCCGCCGAGCCCCGGCAAGGGAGGAGGAGGCGGCGGCGCCGGGACAGCCCCGGAGAAGCCCGACCCCGCTCAGAAGCCCCCGTACTCGTACGTGGCGCTCATCGCCATGGCGATCCGCGAGAGCGCCGAGAAGAGGCTCACTCTGTCCGGCATCTACCAGTACATTATCGCCAAGTTCCCGTTCTACGAGAAGAACAAGAAGGGCTGGCAGAATAGCATCCGCCACAATCTCAGCCTCAACGAGTGCTTCATCAAGGTGCCGCGCGAGGGCGGCGGCGAGCGCAAGGGCAACTACTGGACGCTGGACCCGGCCTGCGAGGACATGTTCGAGAAGGGCAACTACCGGCGCCGCCGCCGCATGAAGCGGCCCTTCCGGCCGCCGCCCGCGCACTTCCAGCCCGGCAAGGGGCTCTTCGGGGCCGGAGGCGCCGCGGGCGGCTGCGGCGTAGCGGGCGCGGGGGCCGACGGCTATGGCTACCTGGCGCCCCCCAAGTACCTGCAGTCCGGCTTCCTCAACAACTCCTGGCCGCTACCGCAGCCGCCCTCACCCATGCCCTACGCCTCCTGCCAGATGGCGGCGGCCGCTGCGGCGGCGGCGGCGGCTGCTGCCGCCGCGGGCCCGGGCAGCCCGGGCGCGGCCGCGGTAGTCAAGGGGCTGGCTGGCCCGGCCGCCTCGTATGGGCCGTACTCACGCGTGCAGAGCATGGCGCTGCCTCCCGGTGTGGTGAACTCGTACAACGGCCTGGGAGGCCCGCCGGCCGCGCCCCCGCCGCCGCCGCACCCCCACTCACACCCGCACGCACACCATCTACACGCGGCCGCCGCACCCCCGCCGGCCCCGCCGCACCACGGGGCCGCGGCACCGCCCCCGGGCCAGCTCAGCCCCGCCAGCCCGGCTACCGCCGCGCCCCCGGCGCCCGCGCCCACCAATGCGCCGGGCCTGCAGTTCGCCTGCGCCCGGCAGCCCGAGCTCGCCATGATGCATTGCTCTTACTGGGACCACGACAGCAAGACCGGCGCGCTGCACTCGCGCCTCGATCTCTGAGAGCCCAGCGCACGCCGGCTTTGAGGATGCGGGGACGTGCGACGCCGGCCTTAGCCGCAGCCGCCGCCGCCGCCGCCGGCCGGACCACGCGCCCTCTGGGGCCATCTTCTGAGCCAGCGTCCAAGGCCCTCTGCGCCTCCTCGCTCCCCTCAGCTCCTCTCGTCCCTCTTTTGTCTCCTCCGCTTCTCCTCCTGTTGCTCGCCTCCCTGCCCTCTCTGCCCTCTCGCTCCCCCCTCCTTCCCCCCCCCCCCCCCCCCCGCCTGGAGGCCGGCTCTCCGCGCGCCTTCTGCAGGCCTCGTCTCCTCCCGGTGCCCCGGCGTCCGGGCTGGACACCCCATGCCAAAATTCAGAGCGGAGAGGAAGTGCCGGGGCCGAGGTGCAGCCGGGCGTCGGCGGTGCAGACCTCTTGGCCTTCTCACACAGGTCGGTGCGCTCGCGCTCGGCTTTCCCCGCCGGGCTGCCGCGCAATCCTTGGCTGGAAGCGCGGGTCCGGGCGGGCAACGAGACCCGCGCCGCCCGAGAAAGGGACGAACGTGTGTTTGCCCCACGTAGGCTCTTGGAGCGGTTCAGAAGCCGCTTGCCGGGGCCCACTGGATGGGGCGGGGGTTGGGCCCGACCGGGGAGCCCGGCTGCCTCGCTTGGCGGCCTGCGCTAGGGTTTACAGCACATCCCCGCTCCGAGACAGGCTGCGTGTCCTCCGCTCTCCATCTCGGCGCTTCGGGCACCTCCAGGCCCGCGGCGGCTGGCTAATGTTTCGCCCAAAAGATCGGGAGGGCTGTTTTAGATAACGTTTTAAAATATTTTTTTAAGAAAAAAAAAAAAAAAACTAACCGGGAAAACCGGCGAAGTATTGTGGCCTTGGAGTTTGCTAAAGCAAAACATGAAAATCTCTTCCAGGAGATTGGAAGTAGAATTCCTGTCGGGCCTTCAAAAAGCTATGTTCAGAGAGGTAGGAGAATATGCTCAGTAAAAGTTGGTTTCCTTTACGAATTTGGGGAGGTTCCCCCCATCTGTCTAAAAACAAATCAAAAACAAATTTCCCCGGATCTTCCGATGCAAGTCCAGAGTGCCGGGAGATCATTGCCTGCCTGGCGGACGCTGCAGGGACGGCTCGTCCTCTCTCTGATTTTTGTTTTGCAAACGTCTTACTTCTCCCACCTTGGGCAGGAGAAATGCGAAACCTGGCGGCAGTCGGACTAGGCGGCAGCAGTCGGACCAGGCGGGCTTGTGGCCCGGAGCCGGCTGGCCCGAAAACCCTAGACCTGGTTGTTCTGTAGTGTGTCGTTTGGAGGACCAAATTTTCTAGAAAGAACTAGAGCACTTTTGTTGTTTTGTTTGTTTGTTTGTTGTTATCGTCTTGTCAATTCCCAAATAAATTTTTTGTTCTTTCTTTTAACACGGACTTACATCATTTCTGCCTCGCCTAAGTTTGTTCAGCAGCTGGTTACAAGAGGGAGATTTCCAGCCAAGTTTTATCCTTTTTCAGATAAATAAGGGCTGAGGGCAGCCCGAGTGGAGGGCGTTTGTGGTTGTTGTTGCTGCTCTGTTTTCCGGGGGATTGTTTGTTTTCTGTGTCATCGCTGGTCTGTAGTGGCTATTTAACATCATCAAAGAGACTTTATCAGTCGAGGTTCGTTCACAAGCGCTGGGCGTAGGTAGGATTTGTTGGATTTTTGCACCTATTCAAGTCTGTATTTTACCTCTTATGCAGTCGTACTAGGTGTATGGACTGTGTGTTCATTATATTGAACTCATACGTTTCTATTTTTCCAGACAAATATACTAACCAGGAGAGTTTATTCCAAATAGATAAAAATCCTGTTTGGGGAAATGTTCTATAGGCTGCAAACCCATACACAAATGTAAGGAGCGACTTACATTGATTGCCTTATTATTTTTTAATAATCAGAATTCATTTACCTTGACTTATGTGTAAGAGATTTAGGAGTATCAGAGAGGAATGAACATACTGCGTGGCTGTAGAAATCTATTTTCTTTCCCTTCTTTTCTTCTACTGAGACTCTCCCAATAACGAATTCAGACCGGTGCTTCTTCGCAGGCACACGGGCATTTGACCATGTTGCGGCCCCCGGTATTAGGGGTATTAGGGGTGGTTGGCCTTCAGTCTGCTGATGAGATGACAGGTATCAGTCAGCTCTTCCCTCCACTGCGGTGCAGCTTGGGCTGGACCCCACTCCAGCCATGTGTCCCTCTCTGCCCCCACTTGGCCTGGATAGGAGGAGCCACAGGTCCAGGCTGACCAGTAGGTCAGGGCCAGCTGGTGACTGGGACCAAGGCTGCAGGCCTCCCACTTCATCCTACACTAGTGGTCATGCTATGGGATCATGAGGGTGGGATCCCTGTTATGTGTAGTTGTGCCCAAGGGGCAGTGGCTCTGACTCGGGACACTTTTCCTCCCTTGGGTATCCCTGGGGAGGCTAGAAGGTGGAGGATGAAGCCCAGGCTGTTCTGAGGAGCATCACCCTGCGACCTCCACTGGAGCCGGCCAATGCCACGGGAGCGGGAAGGAGCAGGCTGGAGAGGGAGGGTCAGCTGGGGTGGGAAGCCCAAGAGACTGGTCAGGCCTAGTGTCTGGGTGCTTCTAGTGAGCCACTGCACCATTGTCTGACTATGAGGAGTTGTGGAAAAGAAAGTGGACTGCTGTGCATGTGTCTGTCTGTGCTTTCTGTGGTGTGAACATGTCTCTCATGGGCAGCTGTGTAGTCTACGCCTGCTGCAAATATGTGTGGACAGTGCAAGTCGTGTCCAGGCGACAGGATGGGAGGTGTGTATGTCTGTCATTCGCCTTCGGAGAGGGCACATATCTTGGGCATTGTAATAACCATATGCCTGATACTCAAGGAATGCTTACTGGGACCACAGTGTGTGTTGCGTTCATAAGTCATTGGTAATGTGTGCGCTTACGTCCTTGGTATATAATCCTGGCTTGCTGAATGATAACAAAAAATACATATAGAGCCTTTGCTTAAGCTGGTTGAGGCTGTCTGTTGTAAGGTTGGTCCTTGGCACCCCCTAACTGCTATCCCAAGCAGAGAAAGCAAAAGAGGAAAGTCTCCAGGGCAGAGGCTTCAGGGAGGTAGGGGAAGTTGGCCCAGGCCAGCACTGAAGGACAGCCTCTCTCTGTCCCCAAGAGCTGAAAGGCAAGAAGCACCCAAAGCTGAGTGGCAGTCTCACCAAGTATGGAGGATCAAATGAAAGAATCGGTAAGGGATTCCTGCTCTACACAGGGATGGGAGGAGAGATCCCACACAGAGAAGGGAGACAGATTATACCCCCACTTCGCAATGGATGCCCACAGGAAGACATCTGTCTCCAATTCCAGCCCTAGGGGTTTCTCCATAACTCTATAGTTTGGTCATTTCCCCCAGTGCTAAAAGTTTGAGGCAATCACTGACTTTCTTCATCTCTCATTTCCTTTCTCTCCTCTCCTTTGCACGTTCTAGTTTCTACTAGAGAAGACAATTTAAGGAATTCCCTAAGTGAGAGCAAAAGTATTTGAGAGAGTTCCTGATACATAGCAATTATGCCTTAGCATATATGGTCTGGTCTACATGGCTGGACTATGTGGATGTATGTATTTATGTTTGTCAGGGTATACTATAAATACAACTTAGAGTTTGATGCAAATACCCTGCCAGTTTCTGCATGTCCTGGGTAATGAGTTGCTACACATAGTATTGAATGAGGAGTGTGTATGTGCTTGTATGCATGTGAACACCCTCACACTCATCACTGACAATATGAACCCCTCTCCTCACATTTACACACAAATTCTTGGTCAGCCCTGTGCCCTAAGACTGCCCGGCCAAAATACTTGGGCTGAAGGGGGTAAGGTGCCCTGTTCTCAGGGGGGGTGTGGGAAAAATCTTTGCCATGCAATATATGCACCAAGGAACTGTGGAAAGGTGGGGGGGAACTAGGGTATTTTCTGGAATGGCCTCACTCTCTACTCCAGAGGGTGTCTTGGGCCTGCTTCCCCTTTACATAATTAAAGAGTTCACTGCCCCCACATCCCCAGTTTGGGTGGGCATGAAGCTCAGGATATTTCACCTGAGGTTAGGTGCCCTCCTGCCCTTGCCTGGCTCTCCCACTAAGGGAGGCTGGAGCTCCAGGTTTCTAAAAGCCCCCTAGCGGTGGGTGGAAATCAGGGGCAGACCAGGGCTTCTTGCAGTCAGGGGGGCAGTAGAGAATGGGTCAGGAAACTGGGTCAGACCCAAGAAAGTCCGCCCATGAATAAGCTCTTCCCTTAATGGAGGCTTGGAGCACCAGCACCACTGGGCCAGGGAGGGTGTCGGGGCCAGGAAGCTGCTTGGTCAGGTTCAGGAGCCCTGCAGTACTCCCACTCTGTGGAGCTAAGCTGGTAGTGACCATGCCTTGTTGGTCCAGCTGCCTCCATAGGGCTGGCCCTGCTTCTTGGAGTAGATCTGTGAGACCTATAGGAAAGGATGGGACCAGAAGGCACACCTCTCCTGTGTGGTGGGGACCAGAGGCATAGAGAGGTTGGGAGTAACCTTCATGCCCCCAGTTCTGCCTTAGGGACAACAAGAAATTAAGGATTCTTAAAACCAGGCAGTCTTATCTGCTTTCTACTTTCTGAAAACAGGGATCCATTCTGTCATAAAAGAATGGACCCCAACTCTCTCAGCTTACATTTAAGAAACCAGAGGTCCTGAAAAGAGAAGGGGCCATCCAGGGGTCACCTAGCTATCTGTGGGGCAAACAGCCTTGGAAATTTTATGGAGAGACCTGAGAGCACTGAGCCCAGCTGCCCATTGGGCTCTCTGAGTGGCACAGACCCTGCAGGCCAATGTTTGATGTTCGGTGAGCTGGGTTAAGGCGCAGCCAGCCAGAGGAGCAGGAGCACAGGACTGAGCTGCATGCAGATTGTCCCCCAAAACATTCTGCTGTGCCTGCTGTTTGCTACACAGGCTTCAGCTTGGTGATAAGCCCTGACAAGCTTGTTCTGAGACCGTGTCAGCCCAGGGAGGTGGCCTGTGCAGGAAGGGGCAAGGCCTGTTCAGCCCAAAAAAACTAGTATAGAACCCAGCAACTTGCTTTAATAACTGTGTGACCTTGAGCAAAACACACATTCTGAATTTCAGTTTTCTCATCTATAAAATAGAAATAATTATATCTATCTTGCAGAGTTTTAAAGTAATTAAATGTTCTAACAACAAAATGCCCATTTTGTAGTAGATGGTCATATGGTTTTCCGTCCCATATTGAAAGAAGGAGGAAAGAAGAGAAGGAGGGTAGGAGAGGGAGGGACGGAGTGGTGGAGGGAGGGAGGGAGGAAAGAAGGAAGGAAGGAAGGAAGGAAGGAAGGAAGGAAGGAAGGAAGGAAGGAAGGAAGGAAGGAAGGAAGGAAAGAAAGAAGGAAGGAAAGGCAGGCCTTGGGTTGTAATCCCGAAGGGTCTGACATTCTAGCCCAGGGGCCACAGCCACCCCTGAGCCCCCAAGAGCCCAGACCATGGAGCACTTTTCCAATTCAGAGCGCCGGCGATTGCGTCTACCCTGCCCCAGGCCCCTGACTCTTAGCAAGAGGCGCCCCGTGTTTGTCGTGGCAGTGAATACCTGAGCCCTGGGGACACAGACAGTGGGCCTAGCCCAGGGCTCCTCCAGCAGCCCTGTCTCTTCTCCTAAGGCAATCCTCCCGCATAGTCGAGGTTTCCTCTGACAAAGGCCCAGCTGACCTGCGGAGTGACACCCAGCCTGGCGCTTGAGTCCAGGCGCAGCCGCCACTCTCAGGCTCCCGGGCTGGCGCCTCCCGCTTGGGGCGCCTCCCTCTGGAACGCGGAGCTGTTTGAGGATTTTTTTCCCCCCTTTTTGTCAGAAAAGCAGTAGGTAGCGACCGGGCGGGAGGTGGCGGAGGTCAGCTAGTGGGAGAGGCCCCCCTCGGTCTTTGTGCAGAAACGGGAAACCTGAGGGGCAAACGCAGGAAGCGGGTTGGGCCGAGCTGCGGCGAGCAGCGGCGCCGCGGGCGGGTGGGGAGCGGGGGCCGTGTGGGGCCAGTGGCTCCGCAGACCCGGGCCTGCGCCGCCAGAGCCTCGCGTTTGCGGGCCTGGGGGCGGCGCTGCAAGCGCAGAGCAGAGGGAGCGGAGCGGTCGCTCCCCGGCAGCTCTGAACAAAATTCGGGGGGAAATGACTGGGCCCGTGTGAGCACCGGGTGCTCCCGCCGGCGGGGCGGGCAGAGGAAGCGCAGGAGACCCTGAACGTCCCTGGCGATGCCGAGCGCAGAGGGCAGAGGCCACCCGAGCCCCCGCCACGCCGGGAAGCCAACTCCGGGTCTCCGAATTGGGAGCTCAGCCTGACTCTGTTGGTAATAATACTAACAAGCCGAATCAAACAAAACCTCTCCCGGGATTTTCCTCTATGT